CTGTTTCGAATAGCGTAACTGCATGATTTCACACCACTTTCGTCATCCTGAAAGAACATGACCTTTGAGACCAGAGAACAGTTTTGTACACATGATATGACATCAGCGACCGGCAGCACTTTGCCGACAGACGGCGAAGTGAAGTCTGCTTTCATTTCGTTCGTTGTTGCCAATGCAAAGAGCCCTGCGTGGTTCTGTACCTGTATGGTGATGTAATAGGTCTCTTGGTGTCTTAAGTCACAGTCATGGCAAGTGATTTCTGTCGCATTATAAGCTATATGAGTCATGGATTTCACCTGGCAGCCATTGGGGACTGTTCCAACGCAGAATGCTGTTTTCGATATGCCACTCTCGAAATCAAATGATTTCCAAGATGCCTGAGGTTTTTCTTCGGGTCCAAGCCACAAAGTAGAACCACGGGAAAGCTAAAATAATGAAATAAGGATGTTAAATGGAGCATTCAGGAATTTACACTGAAAGGTACGTTAAGTATTTTGGAGGGGACAAACGAACATTTTATTTGAATTGGCGGATAAGAAATTTTTTTCTCGAAATCGCACAACACAGTACTTTGATGATTGCCAGGAGATGGATGGTATCAGGAAAATGTATAAAGCAATGTACAAAGCTTTGGTCCAAACTACCATGCTGTTCACAAAGCTACAGCAGGGATATTTACTTAAGTAAAGACTAGGCAGACCTCTCATTGTCGTAGTACATAGACTTTCCCATTGTTACTCTCATAAGTAAATACCTCTGTCAACTCTGGTGACGAAGTGTCAACGATGAAGCCATCAGACCATCCATGTGACGTCATTCCAGCACCATTCGTGGCTTCCACTGTAATGTAATACCGTACTCCGTGTGTGAGGGTAAGATTCCCGGCCTCTGCTGAAGTCATCATGCCAACATCCGTAAAATCTATGACGTCAACATTATCAGGGCTGGTACCAAGGCCCCAGCGGTAACTTGCTATACCACTCTCGTGGTCGTTGAATGGTTCCCATATTGCTGCTACCGCTGATGTTGAGTACTGAAACTGAACATCAAAGGAGAGAGATAATCCGTCGCGAACTAGACTAGCAGCTGGCGCGGTAACGTCTACAATAACACCATCAGACGATGAGGTGCTACTGAAGCCATCACCATTTGTACAGGTTACTCGACTGATGTATCGAGCGCCAGGAATAAGACTGAGACTTCCTTCAGTGAGGTTTCCATTGCTCTCTACAACTTTCCGCACGACAACTGTGTCATTTCCAAAAGAGGAACTGTTTCGTGAAACAGATTGCTCGATCAGTGCCCAAGTGCAGCCAGCAACACCTGATTCTTCATCTTTAAATCCCTCCCACTGAAATGATAGTGTATTAGTCGAATCTGTAAAGTCGATATCCTGGCCAATTCCGTCTATGACAACTCCTTTGGATGGGGCTGTTGTGTCAAATATCAGCTTATCAGATGACAAAACAGACGTTAAGCCAGCTCTGTTTACAACAATCAAAGTCGCGTAATATGCAGCGCGAGATTGAGGTGTAAAGGGGCCGATTACACCTGAAGTGGAGGAATATGCTGGTATTGAATCTCCTACACAAGTAAGAGGTGATTTTCCTAAACAGTATGCGCTGCTTTGTATGCCGCTCTCATCGTCTCCAGCCTGACTCCACGTAACGTGTATTTCAACAGTCTTTTGTTCCTGGTCCGTGACTCTGTGGTTTGTGGTGACCTTTGTTATCCGTGGGGAAGTGGAGTCTACTGTAAAGCCATCGGACGTGCCTATACTGCTGAGTCCCCTTGAGGAGGTGGCTTTAATGGTATTGTAATACTTCTGACCTAAAGTTAAGACTTCAAGACCTGGTACCATGCCGTCCAAGTCTTTTCGTACGCTCGTCCTCAGCCCAATACTAGTGAAACGCAAAATATCATCTTTACCAGGAGTTGTTCCTATACCCCAGGCATAGTCAACGACTGGATCTAAGACATCGTCCATAAAAGGATCCCAGTTGGCACCAACGTTCTTTGCACTAGTAAGATAGTCGACGTCAACAAGTTTTATAATTCCGTCTCTAACAACTTTCGGTATGGGCCAGATAGACCTCACTCGAAAACCATTGGATTTAGCAGTATTAATCATTCTTGCGTTATTCCAACATGACAGTACATTGAAGTAGGTCGTGTTTTCGAGGAGGTTAAGGTCAGCGTATTTCTGAGAATTCGAATATGCATTTCTCTTT